GGGGGCTTCCGGACACTCCTGCCCCCCTTGCTTCTTGTCGGGATGGACACCCCTTGGGCCGTGAGTATCGTTTCCTTAAGGAACGACCACTCGTCCTGGACACTGAGTTCCTCTGCCCTCAAGGACCCCAGTGCCTCTCCCACTAATCAGTTATTCAATGACTGTACATTATTAAGTTCATGAGGAATAATATACAGACAAGCTTGACTCCTATTAGGCAAAGCTCTCTGAACAGGAAGAATTATTCCAGAGATGCTGCTTCAGGACAGGAAGATGAGGTAACAAAGCCACCACTGTGCACCGATTCGTTTTCTCAACTGACTCAACATTTCCAAAGCATGAAAACGTGAAATCTGCTGCAACGTTTTGTCACATGAATGGGCACACTGGAGCTCCCAGAGTCCTAAAATTATGCAAGAGTCTCAGCTTTCATTTAAAAAGTTTCTAGCCCTGGGGCTAAAGAGAAAAGCTTGAAAACCTGAGCCCTTTTTTTCAGCTCCTGGAAACTTTTTGGTTTAAAGCATTGTGAATTTCAAATGCTATCGGGAGGACATAATTGCACTGCTTTGGTTAGAAGCCCACATTTTAAGGCACTTCAGCATGGGCCAAGTAGTTTTTTGTGTCTAAATATCAACTAGCCGTTCCTTTCTCATCGCAATCAATGGGGACCACAACTGAGTGTGTCCTGGCCCATCAGGTATAGCCCCAAACTAAGGTATTCTGAGAAATGCTGCCTTAGGGTCTCGTGGGTGGTAATGGCTCAGTCGTGTGACAGGGTGCAGGACCATAAAACCATGTTCTTAGACTAGCGAGATGGATGAGGCACCAGGATTTAGAGCAGGGCTCTCTAGGTCAAGCACTAGCTAAGTGAAGATGGCGAAGCTGTCTCATGAAAGGGCTGGAGAGCTGGAGCCGGAGAAGTTAGGCTGCTCAAGCCCATCAAGAAAGGTCTGGGAGGTGGCATAGGGACAGACAAGGATCCAAGGAGCCTGAGCAGCAAGAGCTGTAGCACAAGGTAAAAGTATTAATGAATGGATTAATGAGCAAGCCTCATGTCAGGACTGATGAGATGAGGCATGACAGAAGGATTGTTGCGTGTTTGGATTCAGAGGGCAAAGTTACCAGACCAGCTGGGAAAAAATGAGGCATGAATTATCACTGTGGCAGCAGGAGACTGCAAAGCTGAAAGGGGGGAAAAAAATGAGACAGATGCATAACCTGATGCTGAAAAGATAAAGAGAAACTGCTGCGGGGCCCCACTGTATCAATGCGGGACAGACAGTAAAAGAGCCCCTCGGAGGAGTACAGCTGTGCCCCAGTGCATACCTACACCCAGCGGAAGCTGGCAATAACATTTGGAAACGATCAAAATGGGACTTAAGCCACCGTGTACCTCAGTTCCACAGGCAGATACCGCAGTGCCTCCTACTCCAGATGCCTTGGATAGATCAAAGGACCCAGCCAGCAAGCTTTAGTGGGTTAACTTTTCACACAGGTCATTTGGTAAGAATTCATTTTTATAAAAAAAGTAGAAACAGTAAGTGCCCAGAAAACTCAATGGAGATGAGAAGGGAACTGGGGTACATACTCTCTAAACCCAGAGCAGCAGGGTCCCTGTTCTGAAGAGGTCACAATCTGAAGAGACAAGACATCGGAAGTAGGAGAACAAGATTTTAGATGGGCAATGGAGGCAGAATCATGGAAAACCATAAAAGAGCAGGATCAGTACCAAGTTCTCCTGAAGCCCAGCCCAGCGCCTAGGCCACAACACCAGCCTTCTCGTAAGCAGGCGTCCTGGTTTTCTCTGATTTAAAAAAAAAAAAAATCCCCAATTTTTGGATTAGAAAAAGTAACCTCACATTGACATTTTTCCATGATCAAAATCAAACTCCACTATATATATATCTATATATTAGTGGCATTTCATTTTAATCATGGAAAAAGGTGGATTAGGGGTAACTTTTTTAATCCAAAAATTGAGGACTTTTTTTTTTTTTTTTAAATCACAGAAGACCAGGACCCCTGCTCGTAAGGCACCCAGAAGTCGTAATTCAGAATTGTGCACAAGTGGCTTTCTGATAACTTCGTGAACAAACAGGAAGACGAAAAAGAAATGTTCATCTGTCAAAACCTACAGAGGTCAACGCCCAACACTTGAGCTGCAACATCTTGCCTTCACAAACTGCAGACTGCAATCCGAGGCCAGCTGGGCACTCCCACCCGCTCCTAAAACCACTATGCTATTTAAACCAGGCTCTTGGGCTGTTTGTTTTTTAATGAATACTGTTTAATTATTTGAACACAGTCTAGTCATGTGGGTCTATCGAGCTACAGAGAGCCTCAAAACTGATGAAAAGCAGTTGCCATAACAGCATTCTCCTAGTGACACTCCAGGGACTGAAGCTGGCACTCACACTCGGGACAGCTGGAAACTCTTACATAAATATGCCGTGAGAAAGTATTTTTCAGTTTCTGGGCTCCCAATACAAGGCCATTCCAGAAATTGCTGGGGGATAAAGTTATTCTGTCATGGGATACATTTGACTGCGAAGGCTGCATTTTTGGGACTCTCAGCAAGGAAGACACATTGCTTAAATTACACTGTTGCTTAAATATGATTAGAGTAAAGAAACATTCACATCCAGAATTCACATCCCTGCAAGAGGAATATCTCCATTCAGACTATTACCCATGTCGACATTAAAACAACTCTGGTAGTTCCTGAGTGGGAGGGAAGGTCTATCCAATGGCACCGGAAACCCCCAAAGGAAACTGGTTCCCACCAAAGCAAATACAACAATCCTTCTTAAATCATTTCATGGCTATTTTTGCTCACTGCACCTTTCAGGGGAAAATATAGTTCTTCTAAACTAGAGACAATAATGTTCCTAAATGATTCAGGGAGTTATAATTCAGGGATTTATTCAACACAAAGGTTAAGGTAAAGAGTTAGAAACAGAACAGGAATCTGAGGTAGAGGGGCTAGGGGGTGGACAGAGTTGTGGCCTTGTAAATACTGGCTGTTGCACTAAAACCTCTGTGTGTGTAAGAGTGAGAGACTGCGAGCATGTGTCACGTGTGCATACACCAGACTGTCATTAATAACAGTCTTCCAAGGACAGCTCTGCTAACATCTCCCCAACTCCTCCCAGCAAAGCCCAAGCTATTCTCTAAAGCCCTTTCCCCAAGGTCTGCTTTGAGATTTTCACAAGATCTTCTTTTTTATTACTTCTAAACTGCCTAAGCTCTAGCTCTTTTCCCTCGGGTTCAGAAACTTCAGGCTGAAGAATTACTATATCCAAAAATGTAGTAAAAACCCAGAGCCCTGAGATTTCCCGAGACAGACATGCTGTTGAGTTTTCCAAGAATAGACCTGAATGCAAAATATCAGTGCCTCCATCTGCCCCAAAGCACAGAGACGTTAGGTGACAGCAGCGTTGGGACAAAGCCCTCTTTCTCCCCTTGCCTTCACCATGAGGATCAGAGCTCAAACAAGTGCTCAATGAAACCCAACCTTACCTCAGTTCTTCAAGAATAATCTCAGCTCAGATTCTTAAATAATGCTGTTTCTCCATGGGGTTTCAGCACTGATAAATCTGTAACACTGAACTTTTACTGTTCAGAAAACCTGACAGGCCACAGGACTGGTAATGGGATATACAGCTTCTTAGTTTTAAAGCACAGGTTTGAATCCAGCCCGGGTTTGGAGTGACCAGAAATCATTTCATGGCTTTTCGCAGGTCTGGTTCTCATGGGTTAGCAGTCTCACTCCAGCTTCTAAGGGGGCAGTCGTCCTCAACCATAAAAACCCCGCTGTCACTGGCAGCAATTCAGAAGCCACTGTAGAGGGGTCAGGGTTCGATTGCTCTCCAGGACACCCATCTAAGGCAACTGGGGGAGAAGCCTGTCCCAGTCCTGGCAATGCTGGGGTCACTATCTGGATAATCATGCATCTCAGACTGCCAATCGAAGTCGGTGGAAGTTTAGACCTTCAAAAAACATGCAGCATCCTATATAAACAAAAAGGTATATCATTCTGGCTGCTTCCTCACTGGTCTCGAGTCAGGATGAAGGATGGTAAAAAAGCAGTGGCTGTTAAAAACACTGTACCTGGTCCTGGGAGGTCTGGTTATTCTAACTGCAATGCCTAGCAGACTGCAATCTCCTCCAGATGTACCAACACAATTTGAAAACCTAAGGAGCTGAAAGATTACTTACCGCAAAGTTCACAAGGTTTCTATTAAAAGCTTCATTACCAAAAAAAAAGAAAAAGAAAATCAGATGCATCCAAGACAAACCCTCTTTTCACCCAGCTTGGATGCATTTTTCTGCTGAGAAAAATAAACTTTTACTGATAAATACCACATGAAGATTAAACATTAAAATATTCGTATTTACAGAAATAACTAGGATTCAGCTTCAACTGTTTCCTTCTAATCATCTGCCCACACCAGTCTCCAATGCGAAAGAGTCCAAAAAAACCCACCCCATTGCTGTCAGTCATCTAAGCATCTGAATTATGGGAAAAGAGAAATTAAGTTCAGCCTGGTATGCTTTCCTGAATAACTGGTTAAAATAAAAACGATGAAAACCATCTCGTGCTCCCCCCTCCCCACACAACCACCCAAAAGAGCCCTGTGCGTCCTGGATCCGCCAAGTGTAAAATACACAGTCCTTAAGAAATGTAAGTAGATGTGGCTGGTGAAAAAAGAAAATCAGAGAGAAGACAAAGCCCTACTTTATGCTTTTGCCCAAGGCCCACCCAGAGTTTCTGGTTGGTATTCAAGCAAAAATGTGTTGTTCTCTTCATCACTCTCTGGAACTTGAGGAGCAGAAACTGATTTACACCTTGGATGTAAAAGGGCCTCACAACGCGTTGTACTCCACGCATTTCGATGGGTCTGTTGGGAAGTGTTTCTGGCAAATGGTCATGAGCCTCTTCAACCCCTAGAAAGTTAATAAAATAAGGACATTTCTGTCAGAAGTCTGCAGCCACCAAACAAACAATGATTTGATGGTTACTTCCGATTGCTGAGCGGAAGTGAGAGAAACCACTATAATGATTTTTAAGTTAAGTAAGTTTCAAAAGATCCATGGTTTTGTACAAGCAGTATAAAGAATGAGTAGCTGTATGCTTCTCAAGTGGGAAAGGAGCATGAGAGAACTTGCAAAATTAGCCCCTCTACCTTCATAGGAAAACATCACATCTATTATACTAGAAACTGTCCTTGGGAAAACAGTGGGCCCCCCATCACAGGGGACACACCATCAGGTTAAAAATGATTTTAAATGGCTGATTATTAAAAGAGAAAGAAATTTATAACGTGTCCTGTTCATCATTGATACTCTATATTACATTAAACACAGTTGTAAAATGAAAAGCTGCATCAGTCATCTCATGGGTCTCCTGCACGGGCACAGTGCCAAAAAGTCTAGGTTTGAAAACTAGAAAAACCTTACAAAAATGAGTATCAGGCTTCCAGTGAAGAGTTGCACTTTTCTCATCACTTTAATCAGAGCACTAGCACTCAGGGCATTTTCACACATGCAAGCACCACAGCACCAGGCGCTCTGAAAAGCGCCTGGCGCTGTGACACTTGCAGCTGTATAAGCAGCAAAATGCGTATCAGTGCTGAGAAAGTGGCGGCAGCACGCTTTTGAACTAAAACACATTGGAGATGCTTTAATTCAAAAAGCGCACCACCACCATTTTCTGCACATTGTTCACTTCAGTTTGCGTGTGGAGCAGATTGCATGTGGACGGATAAATCAAGTCCGTTCCAAAGCAGCGGATCTCCGGCGTGTCACGGGACAAAAAATAACGTGTATAAATGCCCTCACAGACTAAACTCAATAGTGATACTCTGGAATCACACAAAGATAGTGGATCACACATTGTAGAGCAGGGGTGGGCAAAATATGGCCCACGGGACAGATCCAGCCCTCCAGGCATTTTCATCCAGCCCACTATGCCTACCAAAGAATTGTACCCTGCCAGCCCTTCTGCCCATGTAAACACACCCCTCGCCAACATACCCTATCACGCCTCGCTCCCACCTTTGGGGGTGGAAAGGCCTGACCCAGCCAGCAACAGCTTCCAGGTGGGGCTGCTGCTGCCACTGCTGCAGCCTCCTGGGGACCTGCTTGGTTCCCGCAGCATCCCACTTACTCCAGGCGGCAGGTAGGGAGGCAGCAGGGGCAGGGGGAGCTGTAGCTGGAAGGGAGCATGGAGTGTGGGGCTGTGGCTGGTCGCAGCATGGACCCCATGCCCAGGCAGGCACCAGCACCAGAGCTCAGGTGGGCAGGGTGGATGGGTGTGGGGACCCCCGCTCCCTGCAAACACTCCTCCTATGGCATGCAGCCTCTGCAGGCAGTGGCAGCAGCAGCAACAGGCAGGGGTGCTCATACCCAGTGCGTGTGCCATCTCCCAGGGCACAGATCCAGCCAGCACTGCACATCACAGTAAGAAGCGCAGTCCAGCTAGGCCAACTCTATTGCAGGGGCTCCGCTCAGCACACATGCAGCTCCCCGCACTTGCATGGCACAGGAGGGAAGCTTCGTGCACTGGAGCCGACTGCCTTTGAGGCTTCCTGCCACACAGGTCCCAGACCACCACCGGAAGTGGAGGGGAGCCCCAGGACCTGCATGGCAGGAGGTGAGAAAGGCAGCTGGCTCCAGCGTGTGGAGCTTCCCTCCCATGCCAGGTGAGTGTGGGAAGTTGCATGTGAACGGCGGAGAGCACCGCAATAAAGGCGGCCTGGCCAGAACCAAGCGCTAGGTGACAGTGCCTGCACCAGGCACGAGCACAAGCGTCTCTGCCTGCTGCTGGCAGGGGCTGCACACCATAGGGGGAGTCACAAACGCCACACACACAACCCCTGCTGCCACAACCCCCCCACATATACACCCTCCCCCACCCCCCCACCCCAC